TTACCAGTAGATAGGGCTCCTTGTAATTTGCCATCAGCGTCGTATGATATAGGTATATTGTGTCAGTTACATATGTATCTACCTTCGAATTTAGGGATCGTCCTTCAGTGTTCGAATTTCATTGTCTTGGTCCTTGGAGTCTTTTAGGCGGAATCCCGTCTCCTCGTCCAAAGAGTGTAGGGAGACTGATTTGGATGAGAGAGATGACGTGCGCTGACTCTGACCGGTCGCTCTCCGCGGCCTGAACGGGCCGCAGAGGCAGCCGTCCGTTGCCGCCGACAGCTGCGACGCAGATGGTTTAATCAAGCTGACAGACTGTCTCCACAAGAACAAAGCAAACATACTTCCTGTCATGTCTAGCTTTTAATAGAAGGCAGAATATTCTAGAATTCCGAGATCTTGGACGATCAAAGCTTAGAAATGCTGAGGTGTTCTAGCTGCTATGGACATCGAAGGTGCTTATACGTTCTTTGTTCTTATAGGTACGCTTATAGTTCTCATACGGGTTTGCACTAGTCTGTTTATTTGCGAGTGCGTTCCCTCCAGTTTTTCTCATAGTCTTTGGGTACCTATCCGAGCGAACGAAATGGTCAAGGGAATGAATTAATTTCATATGTGTATTTATTTCGGCGGCAGAAACGCGAATCATGCTTTTTGGATTATCCGAGAGTCCTGTCCCATGCAAAGCACTGACTTGTTATGACGGTACAGACCGCCGGTCCTGAGCCCCGGGCCCCGGGGCACGTCTTTCGCCCCATCCACCGGCCCCTCACCTCAGCCCATCTGCCGCCACTGTCTCCCGGCAGTCCCTTCCCAACGGTCGCTCGTCCCAACAAATCGGAGTCTGATGCCTCCCTCATTTATACGACTTGCGGCTTGCTGCAGAGAGCCAACTAAACCCAAGGCCACCGAAGCAAAGCACCGGAACCAGGCTGAATACGTGAGCTGGTTGATGCTCCGCTTCCTGGATGCCGATTCTCGGTGAGTTTTGTGAGTAGTTTCTGTCAGCCGGCCCTCGGTTTCAGAAATGGATAAAACACCTACTGAATGCATACATGCTGTTTAAGTGCGTATTTCACGGTTTTGCCCGAGTACCGGCCTGCATCGGACTGTCCAACTTTTTGCCCGAGTACCTACCTACCGGCCTGCACCGGAAAGTCCAACTTTTTGTTATGCTTTGTTTGGTTAGGCCGTTTCGGTCCATTTAAACCATTGCAGTGCCGGGAGGATGATAGGAATTAGGGGGAGGCATTGGTCTGAGCAGGCAGGTACCCTAGTCACCGGGGCTGAGACCGTGTCCAGCCCCCCCCCCCCCCATACACTCTGCACCCGTCTACGGGTGTGCTTCTTTCGCAGCTGCGGTGCACGCTCCAATGGGTGAGCCGAACGCATGGGAAAAGGGAAAAAGCTGCCTGCTCAGCCCGGAGGCCGGACGGGAAGAGGGGTTGCGGCGTGGAGGAGGATTTGAAGATCTTGAGGATGGAATGGAAACGACGGAACCGGGAACGGGTGCGGGGTGACTGTCCAGCTTCGGTTAGCGTTAGGCATATTTCACAGAGAGGAAAGGAAGAGAGAGAAAAGGGTCACGGGCACGGCCTCACGGCTCCGGGCTCACGTTTCGTCGGAACGGGAAACAAGTCGGTGACTCGGTAACAGCATAATTTTGAGGAGCGGTAGGCACACGACTGGCGGTGCCCGTGGCATTGCCCAATAATCTGATCATCGTGGATTGCCCAATCGGCAATCACCAATGCCCATGAATGAATGATGAATGCATAATTATCAATTCGCATTTAGTTATACCTACAAACCTCCCTTCAGCTAATAGGTAAAGCCAGGTAAAATTTGGTAGCATAGATAAAACCGATAAAACAAATTGGCTCTACAGCGTCATATATGTCAGATATTCTATTTCCAGTATTTCCTAGAAAAAAAAAGATGAATTGCGTCATAGAAAAATGCTTTATTGTTACGATTTGCTTTATTTAGGCCTAAGAGAAAAAGGAAACTGCTTTGGGCTTGAAAAAATGGACTTCTGAAAACTATTAAATTGTTTTAGTTGGGCCTCAAAACCGTTGAGGCCATGTTTTGTTAATTTTGATGGCATCGCATTTACCTTTCGACATACATTCGACGAATTAAAATCAACCAAACTATGACTATGACTAAAAAGGGTGACAAAAAAGATCCCCGAAATTATCGATCTGTGTCTCTTCTTCCACTTTTTGGCAAGGTTATTGAAAAAATTGTTGTTGACGAGCTTCTGCGACACGCTGCCCCAGTGCTATCCCCAGCACAACACGGTTTCCTGCCTGGCCGATCCTGTATCACCAACCTTACCACCTACCTTCACACTGCCTGGGGCTCGATCTCCGACGGGTGCCAGACGGACACAATATACACGGATTTCTCTGCGGCTTTCCAAAGTGTTAATCATAAATTACTCCTGTTCAAACTATCCGAGTCTTACTGTATTAGCGGCAAAATTTTGGATTGGTTCGTCTCGTACCTGTCGGAGAGAGAGCAGAGAGTGATCGTGAATGGAAGAACTTCTGAGTGGGCTAAAGTAAAATCCGGAGTTCCGGAAGGGGCCCTTCTGGCCCCTTTGCTTTTTTCTCTCTTCATCAATGATTTGCCGACGGTTGTGTCGTCGTCCAAATGCGTCATGTATGCGGACGACGTCAAAATCTACCGGCAAATTTCAACTCCTGCTGATTGCGGCCTCCTTCAAACCGACCTCATCAACATTTGCAAATGGTCCACCGATTGGTGTCTCTCTCTCAACGCTCAGAAGTGCCTTTCGTTCACGGTCACTCTCAAAAGAGCACCCATCTTACACACCTACCTTGTCAACAGTTTCCCCCTTCAGCGTGTCGCAGAAGTTCGCGATCTTGGAATTGTGCTGGACTCTAAACTAACGTTTTCGGCTCATATTACCAGTTCAATAGCAAAAGCAAACAGAGCCCTCGGACAGCTATTCAGATCTTTCCAGACCGGCTTGCCCAGACAAAAACTTGATCAGAGGGCTCTGATAGCTACATATTACGCAAACGTCCGATCTATTCTTGAATACGGTAGTGTTGTGTGGTCTGGCGCAGCCAAAGTTCATTTAAAACGGTTAGAACGAGTCCAGCACAAATTCCTAATGTGGTTAGCAGCTCGGGCCGGTGGCACGGACAGATCAATTTGCCTGGAATACTGTCATCTTTTACACTTCTTCCATGTTTCGTCACTCGAGGCGCGGCGCACTCAGTTCGATCTTTTATTCCTGAAAAGCATTTACTCTGGACGCATCGACTCGTCTTTTTTATTAGCCTCGTTCGCACTACATGTACCAAGTCGTCCAACACGGAACGTCCAGTTGTTTAATGTGCCGTTTGCTCGAGTCTCGACGGTAAAGACAGGAACTTTTACAAGGCTGGCGGCCCAGGCAAATGATTTTATCGCCAGGAATCCTCAGGTGGATTTCACGTCGGATACCTTTATCTCTTTTAAATCATTCGTCGTGGTCCACTGCAGGAACATGCCTTTGAGAACCGTGTCTTAGAGATTTTAAAGTTTGTTTGTACTTTTCCTATTCTTATTGTTTTTTTTTTTTAATTTAATTTTATTTTTACTGTGTACTTTTATATTATATCCTATTATTTAATGGATCTCTTTCATGGATCTCTGTATTTTTAAGTGTCATCTAATTGCGAATGAGTGCTTAGTGTTTACCTTGTGTGTGTATTTTATGTTGTGATATGACTTCGCCTGTTAATGGGCCATGAGTCTGTTGGCGATTTATTTGAATAAATAAATAAATAAATAAATGACGTCATAGAACCAATTGATGAAACCGTTTAGACTTTGAGCGCATGAGTGCGATTTGCAACCCTCATACCTTGACCACATACAATATCGTGCGGCGGCGAACACACCTAGGACATTTTGTAAGTTTTTTTTTTTTAAATAAAATACGTTATTGGAGTATCTGCAAGCTGTGTAGCATGTGTACCTACATTTGTACATTTATTCTATAAAAGTCATGCATTTACGACTGTTTGTTTCTACCCTGTTGTCTAATCTGTCTAATTGTTGATAAATGATGAATGATATTGATGTATCAGCTCCTATAAATTTGCATTAACGTGATAAGGTTTTGAATCTTGACTATCTTTCAATCAAAGTTACCGATCAGGTCTGTTCATAACGACATATCGTTAACTCTTGCTAGATGTCTAATTCGGCAAATGTGTAGACAAAGTATCTACTTACCTATGGTGAAGATAAATGATCTAACTTGACCTAACCTTACCTACCAAAATAAAATCTTAAACCTGCAACATGCTAACCTTCAACCTACCAACCTAAAACCTACAGCCAGTAGTAGTAAAGGAGGTGTCACACTTATGTTTTGCAACCAAGAAGGGGGACTGTAGGCTAAGTTTAAGGTTGTAGGTAAGGTTAGGTTAGGTTTGGTTAGGTTTGGTTTGGTAAAGTTTGATAAGAAAGCATCTCTGGGTATAACACCTCTCCTTGGTTGCTTGCCAAAAGAAGTGTGATGCCTGCTTTATGACTACCCCTACAACCTACCAAGCACCAACCCACAACCTTGGTACCTAGGTACCAACTTACCAACCATACTTCATCTCCACATATAATGGTGGACGTTAATAGAGGGCACGTATTTTGGGATCTCAACCTAGTGGCACTTTTTGATATTATTTCAAATTCTTGTAAGTTGTTGATTATTAGATTATGTGAGCTATATATTTTAAACTTGTGTTGTTAATCTTTTTGGTAATTCAGGAACGCTCACTGCTGCATGCCCTGCAGCCACCTCTCCTGAATGGCCACCCATATACCAGTGTCTAATCTAGGTTAGTACCTAACTATTATCCTGGCTAACCTATAGGCTTTGGAGGAGTTTGGATAAGCTTAGAAGAGGAATGAGGGGGAGCTGTTCTTGAACAGCCATGGAGAACATCTCTGTGAGGAAATCAGCTGTTCGCAGGAATGTAGGTGCAGTAGATGTTGGATGGTGCACACTGCACCAGCATTGATTTTGGGATAAAAAAATCATATCAATAACTTTTTTTGATAAATTGGAAATTGTTTATTGTTATGAAAAAATGCCTTGTCCGATCCTGATCCTCAATCCATAGGTACCAGCATTTGTATGCTCATCAATTCTCACCTCCTAAGCAACTTTTGTTTGTATAATGTGTGCCAAATTTGTCTACCAGAGCCTCATCCGGGGTCCTGTTTCACAGCACCACGCTAGGTACAGTGTGGTACAGTGTGGTACATGTATCACTGTATTTGGTTTTCACGGAAACAACAATCTTGGAGCTTTAACATTTCAAGTCGGAGTTTGTTGATGTTTCCAATGAAACCCAATACAATATGTGTAGTAGGTATGCTTTAGCATCATGCCATGAAAAATGGCCCAGAATTCCAGCTTTTGGTTGGGATAAGGGAGGAGAGTAGTGTTGGTGAGATGTGGAATCAGAGGGAGTGATGGGAACCATCTTTTGAAGTGAGAGGAGGTTAAAGGAACTTAGAAGAAGTTGGAGGAACCACTGGAACATACACATCCGGCATGTTAAGATAGGTATATGCACAGTGTAGGTATATATATATAGGTATATTACAGGTCTGGATGGTAGTTGTTTTATGTAACTAATCATACTGTAACTCATAGGCGTCGCCAGAGATTTTCGGTTGGGGGGGCAAAATCAACTTTTGTGTTAAAACTTGCCTGTCCCCAGTCTTTACTCACTCGTTTTACATATCATTCGACGCGCAATGGTGCGAGGAATCAGATGGTGATAAAGGTTTCCTTCTAGCTATGACATGTAATTTTTTACAGAAAAATTCGAAATTTTGAAATTTCATGACAACGACTGGTAGAATGATACTATATAGTGGCTGCGATTGCCGACGCACTGCAGAGGGCCCCTGTGCAGACGCTCGACGCTCATGATCATTACCCAGAAAAAGGTGAAAAACGCTCCATTTAATCGGATCACCCTGCTTAAACCTCCATTCACGCATGCATGCAGAGGTTTTACGTGAAATGCATAGGACTTATCCCAGCCGCCGATCGTAGCTAAGTTGGGCATTCGGCGGAGAGTGAGTGTCGGAAGTGTGAATCGGAAGTAATTCATCTTTGCTCCAGTGTGAGAGGAAGTGTTTTGTTCACTCGAGTGTGAGCAACAGTTTCTCGTTTTTCGTGTGAAGGGAAGCGCTGCAAACGCGAACAAAAACTGTTAAACGGAACCAAAAGTTACGCACGGCATAGCGGCAAGGGATCCCTTAGAGATAGGTTTGGGACTTCCAGGCCATTTCAGGCCAATCAGGGTCAGTGCTGACTCTCAGAAGCATGCTTAGGATCCCGGAGATCGGCGTGGGTGACCTCAAATATTTACGTGTACCTACGTGGTGCTTTAGGGCTTTCCGAGCCCAAGGTGGGACCCTCAGAAGCCAGTGTGGGCGGCGGGCGCTAAGAGACTAGACCCAGGGTGAGCCTGGAGCCCTCAGATAACAGTGTGAACCCTCAGGGTCTGTGTCGAATCCTTAAGGACCCTACGTAGGGATATAATAAACATGTGTTGTTGACCTCAGAGGGACACGTGAGCTGTGACCTCTCAGATGCCGGCTTGGGGTTAGCAAAGTATGTCGCCTCAAAAGTTTGGCTGAACTATCAGAGGCCAGTTAAGGTTCTCAGAAATGTTCGAAGGCTCAAAGATCCCTGTATGGGCCCTCAGAAAACATGGACACCAGTGGGACTTTCAGAGGCCGGTTTGGGCCCTCTGAAAGCTTCTTTAGGGCTCAGTGGAGCTCCTTAGGAGCCTTTGTTTAAAGCAAGCTCATGAGCCCTGCGACACTTGTACGGTACTTGAGCCTGTCGCAGACATTTGACGAGAGTTGAGAAAGGCCTCGAAGATTTCGTTTCACGCTCTGAACGAAAATTGTGTCAGCACTCCAAAACTTATGAAAATCAGCTGTAAAATATAATAAAGAACGAACTAGGAACATGGAATGAATCACAGCATCGACATTTCCGAGTCTGGACTCGGAGTCTTGAAGATTTTGGCGACTGCGAGTCAGACTCTGGTTTGAACTGCACGCTCCAACCGAGTCTGACCTCACAGGCATTCTCAGAAAGGTACCCCCATTTTTTCCCGCCTCCAAAATCTCATCGGATCTGTATCGATCTCAGGGGGTGCCCGGTCCGAGGTTGGGGGGGGGGGCAAGCTGCCCCACTTGCCCCCCGTGGCGACGCTAATGCTGTAACTACTATAAATGTTTGGTATATACATCTATGGTATATATTATAGCTTTGATGGTAGAGATTTCAACTCCAGGTGGTGAGTGAAGCCTTAGAACCTGAGAGACTAGATCTGCAACTGATGCTGAATTGCTGAATTTCTGTAAGAAACCATCCCACCTTTAAATATGATAAAATAGCCAAAAAGTGTTGTTGCAATACAATCCCAGTGAATTCCGATAAAGTTTTTTACCTACAAACATAAACCTGGGAAAAATATGACTCTAAAACAGCACATATGTAAGAGACCTTTATTTATTATCATGTGGAATTTTTTGCTGAAATATTTCCATTCAATGAGACAGGATTAAAAGAGTGCACATGAGTGTTGCTTCTGTGTCTGTGGGATGTGACATTTCACAAAAAAAAAACAGCAATGAGTATAGGCGGCGGAACGGGGAGGGCACGGGGGCACCGTGCCCCCTTTGATTTTTGCATTCTAACATTAGCCCTATGGGCGTTGCATGGAAAGAATGGGACCAAAAGTCGGAAGTGCCTTAGACTACTCCCACACTACACTACTCCCTGCCGCTACTGACAGTGAGTAGTGTAGGCTGTAGCCCGTAGGTACTGTGAACATGTTGCGTTGATTTACATTGGGTGTCATCTGGTATTGAAACAGGATCCAGACAGTGAATTGGTACGTATAGCTGTACTGTATCTCTATCTACCTACATTGACCTGTGTAGTGTAGGTTGAGGTCATTTCCGTCCTTTGACCATATTTGGACAGGTCAAGGAATATGGAAAAAAAATTATCTTCTCTCCGAAACAAGTGCTTTGCAGTGTGACCGCCGATTACACCAATCATTTGTTTTTGCTCGACTACATCGCTCATCGCACACAGTCTGGTGACCTCGTCCGGCCCCGTGCTCTGTCACGCAGGTGACCTCGTCCCCGTGCTCTGTCACGCAGGTGACCTCTGATCACGGCTGGCCATGGCTGACGAGGGAGACTTCGATGGCGACAACGCCGGCGACGACTTCGAGGATGCCGACGACGCCGGCGACGATCTGGATGAGCTGGCCGAGGGTGACGGAGAGAACGTGGCCATCCTGCCGTCGGGCGAGGGTGGCGTGGCTGCCTCGGGGGCGGACCGCCAGACCACGCCCTTCATGACCAAGTACGAACGAGCGCGGGTGCTGGGCACGCGAGCCCTCCAGATCGCCATGTGCGCGCCCGTCATGGTGGAGCTGGAGGGAGAGACGGACCCGCTGCAGATCGCCATGAAGGAGCTCAAACAGCGCAAGATCCCCATCATCATCCGGAGGTACCTGCCCGACGGCAGCTACGAGGACTGGGGCATCGACGAGCTGATGATTGTCGATAACTAGACGTGCGGGCGGAGCGGCCGGCCGCCGCAGTTGCACACCATTCTCATATATCTGTATTTTGTGCTAATACATTATCATCATGTCCAATGTACTTGGTTTCAGGGTATACAAGCTAGACCGGATAGTGGATGCGTAAACTGGACCATGCATGTATCCAATTATGTAAGCTTGGTAACGACTGACGTTTTCTGGGTATATGTTCCGACAGCAAACATTAATCGTCTTTTTTTTTTAATCGAGAAAGAAAACGGATTGAGTGATGAAAATCGCCGCTTATATCGGATTTGCACGTGGCAGTCGTGCATTTCGTTGTAGTACCCACACCAAGCGGCACGGGTGACGTTTGAAAAACGCTTAAACATTTTAAAATAGTATTACAGGGCTCATTCACAGCATACGACGCTGGAAGAACAGTCTGGTCACGCCATACCAGATGATAGTTGTGCTTGGGTAACAATACATCTGAAAGCACGAAGCAACGATCACTATCTTACAAGAACAGGGCATAAAAATCACGTCGATAGTCAACACAAGATGAATCACACCAGTGTTGCATGCACGATGCATCAAAATTGTTTGTCTCTCGATGACAAGAGTCTGAACATCATCTGGTTAATGGTCATCAGTATCACAGCATAGGGCGTCAGACTTGGCTGCTAGCGTCGTGGCATTATTTAGATGCAGCCTTGTGTATTATATCAACTGTTGTCTCTTGACATGGCCGTAGGTCTAGGTCGTTGTACCCCAGGCAAAACTTGCTGGCCGGTGGCTTGAAGTAACTGAGTCCGCGCCCGATCTTTATTATCCACCCGTTGTTTATTCTGAAAAATGAAAGATGAAGCATTGTTGATTTCGCGTGAGTTCAGCATCCGCAAAATGAGGGATAATTATGCGGGATCGCCGGTAATAATTTGGTATTGCAGGGACCATCGATGCAATTAGTCACATTTTTATATTTTTTGCTTCACGAATGGCTCTTTTACTCGTTGTCATGTCCGTTCGTTGTACAGTGTCAGCCGCCTAAAACACCGAATGATCCCGGTGATCCCGGAAAACTATCCCTGATTAATACATACTTTACGGTGCGTTCACTGGAGATTAACCGTGCGTTAATTCGAAGGTAGCCGTGCACCAATTTAAATTGGTGCACGCTCGTGCAGTGATGAATTTCTCGACTGAAATTTTTCGGAAGGGTCATTGACTTCCTTCTAAGAATTCCCATAAAAGGCCCTTTTAATGTCATGGACTAAGATTAATTTTAATTTAAATTCGCACCGTTAAGCATGTATTAATTAGTTTAACACATGGTTTCCGTGCATAAATGGTTTTAACGCACTCGTGGATGGAATGGAGCACTTGTGCGTTAATGCACTCGTTTCACTCGTGCATTAACACACTCGTGCTCCAATCCATCCACGTCGTGCGTTAAAACCATTTACACACGGGAAACCATGTGTTAATATATATTATCCAGTACCGAACGCACGCTTGATAAGCGTGTGGCACAGCTCGATTGGCGCTGGACAGGTTATTTACTTAATGCGTTCAAGCAATGATGTCGCTAACGTATCGGGACATCTGACGGCCATTTCATAGTCAGTCCCTTGTTTTTGGGGCCTTGGTCAGTCCCTTATCATTACCGAGACAGCATGTCTACACACAACAGTCGCAACATTCGCGGACATTCGATCGATTTACAACAACCACGTGGATTGTTCATAAAACACACGGTTAAGAATGGTCTTGGATGCATGGCATAGCGTGAGGTGTAGCCACACTGACCTGATCTCCCGGTCGTGCAGCGTCTCCGAGAAGGTGATGGCCAGCTTGACGCCGCGCTCAGAGAGGGACGCTCCGATCTTGTTCAGCCGCTCCCTCTGCGCGTCGGCATCACCCGGGTCCGAGCCAGTCAGCAGGGTGATCTGACGCAGTCTCGGACACTTGCGCACGCACAGCTCACACAGCCGGAGAAAATTGTAACACTGCGGACAGACGGAGGACAATCAGACGGCGGATAATTACAAATTACTAATTTGAATTAGTACCGTCTTGTTAGACACTTAGTGAATTCACGCGCATTCCATCCAGTATGATGGCTATGCACTTCCGAGATGTGACTTTTTACTGGCGTGCCTCTCCCACCCCTCCTACCGCGCACCTGGTGCACGGCGCGGATGTAGGGGTCCTCCACTTCAACCACGGTAACAGCGCTGTCCAGGAACCTGCCGAACACACTCTCGTAGCTGTGACCCGTCGAGTCCTCATCGATGTGTAACTGCTCGTGGTACTTGCCAAGTCGCTTCTCTGCCTCGATTTGAGTCTTAAGTTTCTCGGCACGGTCCATGTATTCTGTGGCTTTGGTGCGGAACGCTGAGCGCCGTGAACCCTCTGGTAGGCCCTGTGGGCAATCAGCAGACATTGTGCTTGTTCACTGAGACTGAGGAGTATGTTTCTACCAAGGATGTCAACCAGCCTGGGTGACAGAGGCTGGGGATGTGACTCATAGTGCTGGCTGAAGCACCCACAACACCACTGGTGAAGAAAGAATGAAGAAAGTAAAACCCTCAGCAGGGCATGACTTAAGTGACTTAACGAGTGTTCAAAGTCAGAGAAAATGCTGTAGGCAGTAAATAAGAACTTACCATTGACTAAGAAAATGTAGAAAAAGTTTTATGGATTGGTTAACAGATAAATGGGTAGATGGGTGGGTTTGTATTTCACAAAGTATTTGTCCAAAACACAATATGTTGTGCTTATAGGTACCAAATTATCCATGATGATGAGACAATAATTTGATGATGATGCACAGTACACACATCTGAACAAATTACCTACTTGATAACCAGCTCTTAACAACCTAGGTAGGCCCTTCGGCCTGCAGCATGATGACAAGCCCTTAGATAACCTGTCAGCTGACCTTTATAACTTCCATCAGAAGGTGGAGGCCTTCTTGATAACATGTCATTGACTCTGTCCAGCGGCGTTTTGTATCCAACTCTACTGCTCGCTTTAGTACAGAGACAGCTGCGGCCTCCAATCCATCCATGACTGAACCTGCCAAAACAGGTCAATGTGCCAATCTGAGCAATCACAATCACCATAACCAGGATTCAGACAATAGTTACAACATACTGGCGAAAAACTGTACTCCTGCATGATCAAATAAATGCCACCAGTTGCCTACCTACCTGATAGAATGGAAACAAAAACAAATCTGAGTTAACTTGAACACACATAACACACGTGGATCTGAAGCAAACAGCTTAATCTGTCTAAAACTTATCAGAAAATAAATGACATATTACTTGTGTTTACCTGGATCAGCTAAAATATCTTAATTAATTGCATTTGCCCTAAAAGCAACAAGAAAATCCCCCACTCATCAACGTCCTGGCGGTAGTGTTCAAAAACGTATTCGGAAAAAAGGTTTGTGCGATCGGAGCGTCAATTGCTGAAGGTAATTGGCTTAAACCATTCACGAGCTGCGGCTGTTGCAGGTTGCCTGGCAACATCAGATGATTTTTAGAAAGTGCCTTTCTGTTGAACAGAAAGACGAGTCATGTGCGAGATACCGTCGCTGGTCGCTGCCATAAGCCTACTAAATACACACATTTCTTTCAAAGTCGAGGAGAGATAACAATTAGCGGGATTTCATTGGTAAGATGCCATTACATAGGTATTTTGAATGTGATTGTGATACGGATGTTTTTTATGGCTTTTTAGCTTCTCCTGCAAATGTAATGCAACCTCAACCTGTGGGTTGAAGTAGGGGCAGTACAGTAATGTCACAATTTGAATTGTGCCGTTTGGGAGGCAGAGGGGTAATCCTTATTTGTCCTCCCGGTCCGCCACTGGCTCCAGTACTTGTGGCATCATCAACCTAGTAGGTATAGTTAAAGTTCATATTTGAGAGCTAGTGAAAAGCCAGGGTTGGGCCCCAATTTGAATTCACATGACATAGGTACATTTAAGGGACGACGGTAAAAACAGGGCGCCTGGGGTGGTTTGATCAAGGTTCGTAAAATTCACACGTGTGACGTGACATTTAGTATGTAGAAGGCCCCATGGAGGCCCACGGAGGGGGAGAAGTTCCAAATGTCACGTGACTAATATGCCCTCCGGCGCCCTGTTTTCACCGGCCTCCCATTGAAGATGTCAGCTCCCGCAATACTGTAATGCCAGGTAGCTTCAAGCCATGAAACGCAATCATGAAACCATGCAAGCCATGTTCCCACAATCATCCCCATTTTTACCATGTTTTTTTCTGTCTAGGTTGTCATGGCTGGTTTACCAGGAAACCAGTGGGGGTCCAGCTCTGGTAGGAGCATAACTTGAACTTGAGTCTGGGTCTGGGATGGCCCTTTCTTAAAAATTTCTGGGCAGCATTTTTTTAGGTATACCCATTCTGACAGAATGGTCTTAGCCTAGGGCAAGTGCATAACCAACACGACAAACTCAGTGGCTATTTTTTCCATTGTTTTCACCCCGCCTCTCCAGTACCTTGGTCCACACCTTTAATCTACATCCCTGAAATTGATGTCATCTTTGTCAAATTACTGTTTGGAATAGCTCAGAACAAGTATAGTATCGCCACTTTGTTCAGTACATCAGACTTGGGCCTTTATAAAACTATAAGGCTGTTATCAGTAGCTCCCTCTATGCTATTCGATTGTGAATGACATGACATATTCTGCAGCTGATGTTTGTTTATGGCACAAGACATGTTGTTGTTACATATATGCTTTGCACACAATGCAAAGACAGCTGCATTTGAAAGTTTCTTTTCTTTTTCTTTGTAAATGTCATTCAATAATCTCTAAAAGCTTATTTCATTTCATGTTTGTGTATGTGTGTAATAGATGTTTCCTAATTAACCATGCTAAGGTCTTCTCAGCTTTTCAGTTTTGTTATGAGAATGAGCTTTTATTTTTAGCTAATTCACTTATGTATGGATGTTAAAATGTTTGATAGTGTTAGTTAGCTCAGCCTGTTTTTATTCCAGACTTGCAAGCTCACCCACGCTGTCATTATGCTTCAAGTGCATGTGGAAGTTCTAAAAGAGCCCCGTGGCTTTATAAAGATACTGCAGTTTGTAAGTGGCTTTTGATGTGACTTGTGCTGCTAGATTTAGTTTTACTTTACTTCCAGTGAGCTGTGTGATTTCCTGCACAAGGCTCTGTTTTACTATTAACCCTCGCCCCGTTGGGGGGGGCCATTTTGCCCCCCCCCCCTGTGGTTTTTCCTGAATAGCAAGAAAACGGCGGCGCGCAGCGCCGCCATATTTTCAGTACCTTCCCGGGCATCAATTTGACACCTTCACACCAAATTTCAAGTCTTAGGTCACCTATGGTCAGGAGTTATTGAGGTCAAACTGAGGTCATGTTCGAGCAAAAATGAGCAAAAAACATGCAATCTTGAAACGCTCACCAAATCTACAGTTGTCAAGCAATTTCAAAGTTCTTTATATGTTCTAGTAGACAAAAAGCGGCGCTACAAAACTGCTATCTCGGATTTTCAAAATTTTTGGTTTTTGACCAAAAAAAAAATTCAAAAAATTGATTTTTTTAGAAAAACTTTGAAAAAAATCCAAAAATTTTCCGAATTTCGAAATACCGGAATGTATGTAATAGTCCCAGCGCTCTTCTATATACATACCAAATTTCAGATCGATATCTCGTTTTTTGGCCAAGTTATAGCGAAAAAACTGTTCAAAAATGATGACGTCAAATTTTTGAACTCAATTTTTAGCAATTCTAGACCACGTACGGCAAAACAAAGACCACCATTGAACTCCCCGTGACGAGCTGCATCGATTCGATACCCATTTTATGCAAAAATATTAACTTTGAAATTTGACCTAATTTGACCTGACCTTGACCTGACCTTGACCTGACCTTGACCTGACCTTGACCAAAACGTGATCTAAGCTGGCCCCAAAGGCTGCCTGACCCATATAATCGCATTTGTCATGTAAAATGGACCATAAAACATGTATCACACGACACTTTCATATTGTGACCCCCCCCCCGTGACCTGACCTCTGTGACCTGACCTGGTATCAGTGACCTCAAATAGCAAAATATGTGTTTGAAGAACATTTCCCCATCGATGATTTTCAATGAAATGCATTTTACTCGATTTTACAACGCATTTCTTGAAGTGCCTGTAAACGGTGAAAATTGGACCTTTGACCTGACCTGTGACGTCATCGGTTTGACCTAGGTCAATAAAATTGGGTCACAAGGTAGTTCCCCGTTGGGGCTATCCAACGCCGTTTACCGCTTGTCGCTATGTTGCGTGGTTCTCGAGATCTTAGGGGGGGGGGGCCAAAATGCCCCCCCCCCCAACGGGGCGCGTTGCTCGGCAGAGTCCAACGGGGCGCGGGTTAACTGGAATAGTTATAAACGAAAAAGTTGTTATGTTTGAGATGCCTGATTGCAGTCAACATGCTCCACAGACCTTGCAATGCACTATGCATGAGTCATATTAAGCATGTTAATTGTTTTATAACCACCTTTCACAGTTAGCATGCAGCGAGTGACCTGCAGCTGGCATGTACGGTCCTGCACCCTGCTAGTATCATGCAATACGAGGCACCAACCATTGACCATGGATCACTTTGACAGCTTTTGGCGATCCTGGCATTTTCCACCACAGTGAGCTTCAGCACCTACTTCACGTTCCACGCCACGGTCCCGAACTGCCAGGGCGGACTGAACGATGTTGTCAGAAATACCGTCGAGTATCCGTTCGCGTGAGTTGCATCAAAATCTGCGGGTATTTCTTGGTCAGGTGGTTGTTCCTTATATCTTGAGCTAAGATGTTGTGTATTCTTCTCTGTTCAAGAGCATCGATAATGTGTTGTACAATTGGATGCATACTGATTTTTTTTCTATGTACGGTTTTTTCTAACTTTCCCAACTTCTTGTTCATTACGAGAAATTTAATAGAAGAACTTTGGACATCTTTCACCACTGTCAATCATCAGATTACCCGTCGCTCGAATTGCAGACTATACCACTCTGTGTTACTGAGCCCCCGTTCGGCCCCCCGTCGGCAGGCTGGACGCGGTGCTCATCCGTCAGACACTCTGCTCCAGCCCGCCGCAGACCGCCAGCTTCCACTTCCCCACCGACGTGTCGCCCCAGGCCAAGTTTTTCGTGGCGCTCGGAGTCATCTGCATGTTGTACGCGGTGCTGGCGCTGGTCGGATACGTCCTGCTGCACGACATGTACATCGGCAGACGCCTGATCCCCTCTGCGGTGAGCTCTAAGACCGTGGGGGTGATATTGCAGTACAGGGGGCTGTGGGCTTTAGTTCTGTTTTGCATATCCTAAGGTTGCCTCTATCTGCTGTATCCTGCTTATGACCGATGATGTCTGGTCTGTAGCTTCGATTAAAATCTGGCGGTCATATGTGACAGACAGTTTCGGTTTTTAAATGCCTTGACGTGTATTACTCTTAACTGGTTGTGGCATTGTAATGTATCGTTTCTATGAGTTCATTTTCACTTTGTGTTTACTATAACACCCAGTAAATCTACCCCTGTGACGGTTATTCGCCGTCTCCTACCCTTATCCACCGTCGCTGTCAGGACTTTGTGCTGCACGCGGCTCTGGCGTTCCTCTGGCTGGTGGCGGCGGCGGCGTGGGCGGCCGGCATGTCGACGCTGGCCGACGGCTCCGATCCGGAGCCGGCGCTCTCGCGTCTCTGTGACCAGCTGATCGGCGTCCAGTGCTCGGTGAACGGAGATGACCACCGTGGGTCGTTCGGCAAACTGAACGCCTCCCTGGTGAGTTGGCAGAGGGAGCGGCGGGCTGGAGAGGACGGGCTTGAGAGTCGGGAGGGCATAGTCATATTTCGGTAGGGACGCATGCTGGCTTTCTTTCTTAGTCATCGATTAGAATTGTAGATATTTTCAAATTCTTTGAAGAAGCTTTTACAATGAACACAAAGTTGATGTAGACAAAGGTCCACTGGGGTCCATGCGTTGCTCTACAGTTCATGATAAGGCTATGTTCTCTAATTTTAGGTATTACAGTAAGATACCTACTTATTGGATAATTCAGATTGATTGCTTGTTGCTTAGTCCGAGACGTTGACGGACAAACGGGACCATTGGTGTCACCTTCCTCGCATATGACAGCTACGTATTTGACCTATGGAGTGTCGAAGCTTATTTTACCTAGTGGCTTCCATTCAGGCCACCGTGATTAACGTGCAAGTTTTCGGGACAATGTTGGCTATCTAGGACTCGCGGACCACTATCAATGTAACCTTTAACAGTGTAACGTGTCTATCTCGTTTGGTGTCGCAACATAAGTGCAGATATTTGTGCGATAACCGATGAACCGTGTGTCGACCGAAGCCGAGTCAGCCCAGTGAGTGTTTGCGTTTGACCCCGCCTATTTGCTCTCCGTTCCTTATCGGTGACTTGTTGCTTGCCGGCTATCGTCTCCATTGTTCACTAGTGAGACCATTCACTCGGCAGTCGGCACTCATGCCTGGCCGTGAGCTTTCATCTGTTACTACCCTGCTAAAGTTTAACGCTTCTCTGTCCTTTCCGACAGTGTTTCGGCTTCCTGAATATGTTCGTGTGGGCGGCCAACCTGTGGTTCATCTTCAAGGAGACGATGTGGTACCGGGCGCGGCCGGAAAACGCTACCACCGCGGCCCCCGCGCCCTCCGCCAACGCCTAGTGGGGCTCCGGACGGGCTCAGAGAGGCTGTGCTGGCCGGTAGGTGGCGCCTCGCGTCCGCCCGTAGATCGCCAGTACCTACGTAGGTAGCGCTGCATGTCTGGCGCGGCGGCGGTCGGCCGCTGGCTGGCTCTGGTGACCGGCCGGCAGAGATCGCCCCAGTCGCCGCGTCGCGCCAGGTAGCTAGTCCTCTGCTCGTGCCAAGCGATGGTCCGTGGTGTCTGCAAGGATTGTACTCATCATCAAAACATCGGCCATGTTTTCTGGCCACGCGAATTTATGCGTAGTTTTTTTTTTGTCTTGTGAAAATGTTCTGTAATCTAATGTGTTCTTCCAGAAGTGCTCTTCCAATCAATACTGCCAAATGCGAGAAAAATAATCGTATATTAGACTGGGTTCAACATTGATCAATGCCCGAAGCACAAGGATGGTCTTAAGAGCAATGCCTGACCATAAAATGGCATGCCATTCAGCTCTTCATACGAATAATCGCGTACACTTTTCATCCGAGATACACGGGCCTGGATCTTGGGTGGATGGAGTCGGGCCATGAATGGGCAATTCCATTGCGCTGCTAAACATCTGTTAGTCTTTGAATTTATTTGAAACCGTTTTCATACATCTTAAGACCAGTTAGCTGTTCCGGCCTTGCCTTGTGGGGCATCAGGCGTATTTCTGATGCGAAGGCATCGCGCGAGTCAGTAACAGTTGCTGAGGTTTCTTGTCGCAGCTCCCGGTTTGGCCATACGCCTTGCGTAGTGTGCAGAGGCCGGGTGCTGGGTAAAATGTGGGCCCGAGTGGCTCAGTGAGCGTGGACTGGGCCCAAAATAACAAAATTGGCGCGTCATGAAGCACACAATAACAGTCGGTGAGGTACACCTCATAATCTGCGGCCGGCTGGACGAGTGATCGGTGTATCATGTAACCACTCAGCTTCGCCCCGATTTGTCGTGATTGTTTATAATTGTTTAGTTATGTTCGGTGTGAAGGTGATCTGTCGCGTCGGTCGCGAAAGTGATGCGGTCGCGATCGGTGCAATCGGTCCTATTAAGTGGCAGCTGCGTCCGCTGTCCGACAGTGTGTTTGCGTGTGTGTCTGTCTGTATACTCTCTGCGTGCGGATAATGCGTGCCGTCTTAATACTGGTATTGTTCCGTCCTTTGTGCTTATTTTGGGTGGACATCGGCACTTCGAAATGGCGGCGTCTTGGCTTGGCACATTCCATGAGGTGGATATTCACGGCCCAATCACTTAATGCTAGAGATGATTCATTCCGGTGAATGCTCGAAGAGATTATGGCTTTCCGTATTGAAAGCATGCTTTACTTTTATCACCCAGCTGTTCGCCATTGTTTATCGAAGACATCGCTTTTCAGGTTTTTGATTGAACAGTTCACCAACTCACGGCTATTCTTTTTGGGCGTTTTTGTCATTTTTGAGTCGGCGACTCCATTCCATTTTGCATCACTGGTCCTTCCTTTCCATCTCCAGCTGTTTCTCCGTCTCGCGTCTTCGTCCGGTTTCCATACATTCCTCTCAGTTTGCCGCATCATGGCCGTCTTTTCTGACTCGTGTCTGCTGTACCATATAGCCTGGTGTATGCGGCGCAGTAAGTGCCCTTTGGTCTGTAGCATGGTCTTGTGGCGTGGCCACACCATGCAGTGCCGGTCCCGAAGGACCTCCACCGAATTCGTTGTCGATGCTAAGCCGACGTCATGGGCCTCTGCCTTCCTTCCAGAGGTGCTGTCATTAACGTGTGTGTCATCCCTGTTCGCTTATCGGGAGGCACCCGTGTTATTAAGCCGTTCCAGGGTTCAAATGCTGGTCTTGCCTGGACGATAGTTAGCCGTGTGCCTTAGATGGACCAATCAGACAAATACATATATCACATGTGCACGAGTTTGTGATTATTGGGGTCGGGAGTTCCGCTATGTATAAGTAAAAAAAAAAAAAAGTTTATCATAACACTAGGCGGATTTCAGAGGACCTCCATTGGTACTCAGGAAGAGTGGCTGATGAAACTTGAATGGCTTCTACACATGTTTTAAACGGTGCTAAATGTCTGCTTGCTGCTTTCGGCGACGTTTACTGTTTCCAGGTAGTATCGGTGACTCCTAGCATTGTGCTTTTCTCCCAAATCGATCGTCACCCCAGCTCCCATCCTTTGTGCGGCGAGGCCGTCCAAACTCCGGGCTGTGTGACGGATGGCAGAGCCTGTCGTCGGGTCCGGCGCCTGTGAACAGTGCGCTGCTCCGGGACCGGGCGAGGTCACGCCCCGGGACCGGGCGAGGTCACGCCCCTGGCCGGCGCTGTTTGTCACCTCTCAGTGATATCTTTGAAGCATGACGTGACATGACGCATGATGTGTGGGGACGGGACGGTGAGACTGAGGACTGTGGGAGCTGGAAACCGACGTATTGTGGATTAGCCTGTCCCACTTTAATATAGGGAAATCCAAAAAGTGTAGCACATATTCAAACACACTTTGCTTTTCATCCCATTGCTAAAAGGAAGCTTCCTACAAATTTTTGAGTCAATCGGTCAATGTTTAGGGGTCGCGCCAAAATGTAGATTTTATGTTTATTGTTTTTATACCACATCACACCCACAGGCAAATCGGTCCAGTTCAGCGTGAAGTCATGTGATAAAATTACATAGGTAGGTACATACATGGAAAACAGTAAATAAAATCAGTCGATATAGCTGCCCAGTGTTCGGGCGTACTGGAAAGCCTCGCGCCGGAAGGACGTGGAAGGATGGTAAAAGTCCACCGATGGGCTATGTGCCAAAAATTGATTGCACAACCGAGGGATACGCACAGAAAGACAGTTCTTTACGGTGTTCACTCTCCCGAAGGGCACATGAAACAAGTCTGTGCGACGGTTACGCCTCCCAGGCACATTCAGACCAAACATCGATACCAGGTAAGTGCAGTCCAGGTAAGGTGGTGACGACTGACGGAGTTGTACAAGAACATGATATCGGTGTGAATGAGGCTGGCTTTGATGGACTCAATTTTAAAGGTTCGCAGTAGACTACGATAGTCCATAGGACAGCTCCTCTGCGTTTTAGCACCTAGCCACATGAGACAGCGGTGCTGTAGCCGCTCCAGCCGTACCTACCAGGTGGGACTGGGCTGCACCGCTCCAAATGACACTTCCGTATTGGAGGACGGACCTAACATGACCATTGATCAGATCTGAAGAACAGATCAGATTTCTTCGACTCACGTTCCCGACGAAGAGCGTCGACAAATGGCTGCAGCCCTCTCTCATCCTGCTCGGAAGGGCACGAAGAAGCTGGAAGGTAAAGGTCTCAAACTGGACGGGACTCTCCACGGACGCGTCACCTCGAAAACGAAGTCCCTCTTCGACCCCCTCGGTGCATCTCCTGACCTTACCAGGCCCGTTCGTGAGTGGGACATCGATCCAGCCTACAGGCATGCCAGGGAGAGAACAGCTGCACTGTCAGCTGTGAATGATGCAGCTGAACGAGGAATCGCCCTCATCGAGAAGTTCAACAACTCCATCACACGAGATGGACAGCAGAAGCAGCACTGGTCCACCGCCATCGTCAGTTGGTGGGCGACGAGAAGAAGGCTGACCTTGCCAAGAACGTGTTCTGAGTTTCTGTTAGGCCTAGGCAAGTAATTGGTGGCAGAGATGTGACTCACTTTGCATTCAGTTGTATTCCAGTTCACTAATTCACAGTATACACTAGATAATTCGCAACAACCCAGAACAGCATGAAGCGTTATGGCGCGACCCCTAAACCTGACTCAATCGTTCTCATTTTTTCAGGGTTTCATGTTCTGTTGTTAGAGACTCAAGGGAACATGTGTCTCTGCGGTTTCAATGGCGTTGGCACTTTTGGGACAGGCTATTGTGGATATCGCTATATTGAGTCGGGAGCCGTAATGTGAAGGTAGCTGGAATGTGGTGCCCGTAGAGGGCAGGGATTGAGGGAACCGTAGAGACGGTGACAACGGAGACTTCGAAAACCATCATGCTGGATGAAAACCGTTGTTGCACGCCGGACCGTCCCCTCCCGATCGACAGAAGTGAATAGTGCCGTCTTGTGGGACCTAGGGAGCTGTGAGGGCCGACTGGACTATGCAAACTGCTGGGTATTGTAACCCCGAGACTGTGGAGACTGTGATCTGACCTGTGAGGTTCGGCGGACTGTGGAGACTGTGCTCTGACCTGTGGGGTTCTGCGGACTGTGGAGACACTGATCTGACCTGACATATAAGGTTTGACGAACTGTGATCTAACCTGTGGGGTTCGCCGGATTGTGGAGACCATCACCGTCACGGTAGATGTGTCACTGCCGACTCACCAAGGCCGGCCTCTGGATGCGTCTGTTGTGCGGCCGACCGACCGGCACATTCCGGGCCGGGTCGGCCGGAACCGTCCAAACACCGGGCTGCCGCCCCCTCCGGAACACGAGGTCGGGTCGACCGGGCGGTGTGCGCGCCTCACTGCGCGTCAGTGGGTCCTCAGTGGCACTGGAGATGAGACGGCTGACGCACAGAGACAGGCTGGGCTATGAAGTCTGAAAGGCTATTTTCTGATTTGTTTTGGCTAAAAAGATTTATGGGAAACGGCAAGACATTTAATCGTTCCTTATCGCAATATGAAAGGCGATCACGTATAACGCCGGGTATTACTCATCACATACACGCTACGTGCAAAATGAGAATTTAGAGTTGCATTCCATTTAGGTGCAAGTGCTGGAAACTGGTTTCAGTTTTGAGTGCCGAAGTGAAGTGAAGTGGGTTATTACATATCTGCCTTTGAGGAGTTCCGCACAAGTGCGCAGCTGCCTTTCATTATGCTATGCGGCTCCTATCCGCCCCGGCTGCTCATCACAGAGTCCCTGCGTCACCCTATATGCCATGTAACTTGCCTTCCCTAGCGACCGGACACCTAGCGACCCTGCGCACCTGCCTGTGTCAGTGACCGGCAGGTGACCCGTCCGCAGTGACCCGCCCTTCTGTCACCGGCGGGCAGATTGACGCAGTGGGCGACACATATTCCGATATATGTCGCCTGTCAGGTTTTCCCAGGGCAGCGAGCACGCCCTTCCATCATGCATGCGCTTATGCGTAATGGACGGGTCTTGTCTTGCTGCGGACGGCGACGCCGCTCTTGCTTCTGGATAATTCTGCCTGCCTAGGGCTGGTCGGATTCTGCGAGCTGGAATCGTAATTAGCATTCAATCAACTCCTTTGGTATGCTTTGAATTACCACGTGACCGTATCACCAGTATAACGCCTTTTGGGGCGACTAACGGAGCGAGCGAGAGGGTGAGCCTTGCACGTGCGAAATTGCGAGGGGGTACCTCCAACTGAGTTGTGCACGGCACCCTACTAACCGGTCTCTAGCGATGTGCCAAATTTGAGCACAATCGGCCCAGCCGTTCTCGAGATCTGGAAGCGGCACCCTGCACGTGCGCACGTGCAAAATGTGTCCCAACTGACTTTTGCACTGCTCCCTACTAACCGGTCCCTAACCATGTACCAAATTTGAGCGCCCTCGGTCCAGCCGTTCTCGAGATCTGGAATCGACCCCTGCACGTGCGCACGTGCAGCAGCACCCCAACTCTGGCACATGGATATGCATTGCCTAGTGGGTGCCTATCTGCATGCCAACTTTCAGCGCAATCGGCCAAGTAGTTACCGAGATATTGCAACAATTACAAAAGTGACACCTCTTCGTTTTGCACGTGGCACGTGCATAAGGGGTCACCCACATGCATCGGGAACAGTCCAATACTTGGTAGAAGGAATGAAGCTACCCTACAAAAATTACCGCATGTAAATCGGTCAAGTGGTTGCTGAGATATAAGCCTCGCAAAAGCGTGACCACGGCCGGCCGGCCGGCCGGCCGCTCATACTCAGAAATTTCCGTTAATCTAAGGAAAGACTACGCTCGCTTCGCTCGCTCCGTAACTATCGGGAGTTGTGGCTCATAACACCAGTATAACGCCTTTTGGGGCGACTAACGGAGCGAGCGAGAGGGTGAGCCTTGCACGTGCGAAATTTCGACGAGGTACCTCCAGCTGACTTGTGCACGGCACCCTACTAACCGGTCTCTAGCGATGTGCCAAATTTGAGCACAATCGGCCCAGCCGTTCTCGAGATCTGGAAGTGGCACCCTGCACGTGCGCACGTGCAAAATGGGTCCCAACTGAGTTTTGCACGGCACCCTACTAACCGGTCCCTAACCATGTGCCAAATTTGAGCGCCATCGGTCCAGCCGTTCTCGAGATCTGGAATCGACCCCTGCACGTGCGCACGTGCAGCAGCACCCCAATTCTGGCACATGGATATGCATTGCCTAGTGGGTGCCTACCTACATGCCAACTTTCAGCGCAATCGGCCAAGTAGTTACTGAGAAATTGCAACAATTACAAAAGTGACACCTCTTCGTTTTGCACGTGGCACGTGCATAAGGGGTCACCCACATGCATCGGCAATAGTCCAATACTTGGTAGAAGGAATGAAGCTACCCTACAAAAATTACCGCGTGTAAATCGGTCAAGTGGTTGCTGAGATATAAGCCTCGCAAAAGCGTGACCACGGCCGGCCGGCCGGCCGGCCGGCCGCTCATACTCAGAAATTTCCGTTAATCTAAGGAAAGACTACGCTCGCTTCGCTCGCTCCGTAATGAAGGTGACATTTTGGGAGCGGTTTCAGGGCGGTTTCTTAGGATGTAATCGTGCATGCAGGGCGCAGGGAACTTGCGTCAGTGTTAAATCCAGGACGCCATTTTCTGATGCAATTGATTATGATTCGAGGTGTATGCGATTACTGAGGCGAGTACCTATCACGCTCCTGTTGCCTGTGGCGACACTCACTTCCAGGATTTCTGAAGCGTGGCATTGTCGTCC